TATCACAGTTTTCATATACTTCGTTCATCTCTGAATGAACATTCCGCTGTGTGGAATCCAACGCTTCGAGCGCAGTAGTCTGTTCGAGAAGCCGCGAGAGGTTCTCCTCCACCTGTATTAAAGTAGACGAGTTACTTATTAGTAAAGGCTTTGACTACAGAAGAAAGTCGGAAAAGAAGAGTGAAGGGAAACAAATGTCAAACAAAAATATGAAAACTCAAACGACTAACCCCTTTCCGCAGCTGTTTGTTGAGGGATTCATCAATCTGACTGACTTTGCGGAGTATATTATTCGATGTAAAATCATCGCATTTAACAACTCTAAAGATGATGGCGAAGCGTAGGTGTTAGAAGTGAAGATATTTCACTTATTATGTATTAAACGACGCTGGATTACCTCTCTAAGTAATCTTTTTCTTTGCATCTTCCCCATATATAATCCTCCAGCTCTTCTTCGATGGTACGAACCATCCTGCACACAGGTGATAAAAAAGAGCTACATGCTATAAGAAAAAATCCGAAGGCTTAGCCTCTACAGACAAACTGGAAACCTTTCTATAAAATTAAATTTTCATCGGTCCAATAACAGATACATTGAGATAATAGAGCGTAAACTATATCACATCAAAACAGCATTTAACTTTAACTAGTAACATACTAACACCTAACAACTAATAACAAATTAACTATAACAAATCTATAGATACAAGAACTCAGATCAGTCATCATGATGAGTAGCTTTTTTCAGATTATATTTCTCCACTGTTACTGGTTCTAAGAGTTCGGAAACAATTCCCCTCGCTATAGTTTGTTTTGTTCCACCATCCCTTAGAGTAAATGGTATTCCTACTTTGAAAGGCATATTCCGCATAAGAGTCACCGTTGCAGGTGCATGTTCTCCAGGCATCAAAAGCTCTTGCGCTATTTCAAATCGGGCCACCTTCAAATAATCGCAGTTAATGCAGAAAATTAGAACAACAAAAGTCTTACTTGATCCCAAGTGCTGCAGAAAAGTTTGTCCGTAAATCCTGACCGAATGCCAATTTTACGACCATTTTCCTCTTGGCTGAGAAGATACAACTCTGTTTTGATTTGATTTGTGACGTGTACGGCACCAATATGCCCCATCCACATTCCTAAAACTTATTATAAGATGCAATAATTTGATATGAAAACCGATGCCATCAAATTTACGAGCACAACTTTATCCACTACATGGTAAGGGTAGTTAAGGCATTCACCTCTAGAAACCTGATCAGCTTTTACTCCTCTGCATAGTACACCACAATGATCACCTGCTTTTACCTAAACCTTTCATGAATAAATGACTGTATAATAAAAACAAATTTCGAAAGTATGTTAGGTATATATCATGAAGAAAATCTTCAGTCTTAA